CTTGGTGGACTTTTCATCAACCACAATTAAAGGTCACTGTCACACAACCTATTTACTCTCGCAACCAGAAAGACCCTCTGACACCTCCAGACTGAAAGGAGCCAGATGAGGAGCAAATGTGATAAAAATAGCAACCAGGGTGAGATACTGTACAAAACCATCCTTAAAATTCACCATGAAACTAACTACAATCTCAAAATCTGACTTCAAAATCAATTTGGGGATAAAGGATTGAAAATCTTTATACAGATTTGATTGTAAAGCAGAGGACATAATAAACTGTTAACCACTGGTTACAGGTGTTATACTGTAAATCTAGCAATGTTTTTATGGCAGAGCAGTACAGACAGGACACATAAGTATAAATGCTAATAGTAGTGCAAGCTACATGTACATGCAAGACAGTGTAGGGTATGGCATACATTTAGAATTTATACTTTTGTGTTGAATACACATAGTAAATGTAGGTCTGACATAGCTTTAACACAATCGCATACCCTTTGCCATACCCTGATGTGGCACCGGATGCTCACCTCTCAAAACATATAACTACATCCTGAAATAATGCAGGGATCAACATCTGTGATGATCAGTCAGCTTAGTAACTGTGAGGGCGGGGCCTAGAGCCATGAGAGCAAAGCAAAGATGATGGCGCAAATGTAGCAGGGTTGCCTCTACACACCTGCCTGGATGTTTCAACTATACCTAGTAAGACCTTAATTAGCTTGTTCAGGTGTATTTGATTAGGGTTGGAGCTTAAATCTGCAGGACACCGGCCCTCCAGGAACAAGTTTGGTGACCACTGGTCTAGGAGCTCCAGACGGATACTTTTGTCTTGTGTTTATTTGATGATTAATCAATCACTGGTTCCTGCTTCTTGCTTCCTTGAATAAGAGTTAGTTTGAGATACTTCTACAGTAGCATTGCACATATTTTCAGCGTACATAAGCTCATACATAAACTAAAGGCCAGCTAATAAGTGCTGTGCAGATAATCCTCACTTACGTGCTCTTACATTGTTTCCTAATCACACAACACAAGAAGGTTCCAGAGACAAGCAATTTGTCTGTTCGCAACAAATGTGACGCAAAAAAAAAAAAAAAAAAAAAACATTTAAATACTTTATGGCCAATTCCCAGAGATGGGTTGCAGCTGGAAGGGCATCCGCTGCGTAAAAACTTGCTGGCGACACCGAATAAATAAAGGGTCTAAGCTGACAAGAAAATAAATGAATATGGCCATTCAGAAGCACAGAATAGAGCACGGCACTCCAAACCAAATGGAAAGGCTTACAATATAATCAATATGTGAAGTTTATTTAAAAACTAATTTCAAGAGGATCACGTGCTTATGATTGATCACGGCTGGACCCGCTTTACTTAATACACGATTCTCTAATCAGACGATTCCTAAGTCACTATAAATAACCATAGTCTTCATACCACAGTCATCTATGTCTTGAAGAATCCCCCGTCCTCCCCTATTCCTCCCCCTTCTTTCCTAGATTGGGCGGCACGATGGCCCAGTAGTTAGCACTATTGCCTCACAGCAGAGTTTGCAGAGTTTGCGTGTTCTTGTTGTGCTCGTGTGGGTTTCCCCTGGGTTCGATGGTTTCCTCCCACCATCCGACATGCTTCATAAGTAAACTGAACAAACCAAATTAGCACAAAAGTCAAGTTTCTAGCCAACAGTATTTTCCACAAAGTAATTTGTTATTAGCGATTCGTTATTAACTCCTATCATAGGAGTTCTTGAGATCTACCTGAACTCTGTCCTCACTCTTACCCTGCAAACAGGAGGAGGAAACCCAGGGCTCAAGAATCTTTTGAGCTCAGGGCTCTCTCCCAGGACAGCATGCCAAACTAGCTTATAATCAATTATCAGCTAAGTGTGAACTTTTGAAATATTAAATATTATTGCTAGTTATTTTATTTAGGATCTCATGTAAACTATCTGCTGCAGATTTCAGCAACACATATCAACTAAAATGGTTTCCAAACTCACATTGGTGACATTTAATACTGAAAAAAGTACATAATATGTATCTGAGGTGATCATTGTCATAATTTTTGATGCTGTTCTTCAGTTGCGACGTCATAGAAAATAGAAAACATTTCTAGAACAGAACTTTCAGAACATTGTTATGGATAGGTTAGGACAAAAAGTCTTTTTAAAATTATTAAAATACCTTTATCGTATGTCACATCATCATGTTGTGTGTAGCTGGGACATTGTGTTATAATAAAAGATGCAGTCTTTACTAGTCAGTGGGGTTACAAGTGTATAGTAGTCATCATTCGAAGTGGATCATCACCTTTCATCAAAGTTGTCTTAAAACTATTGAACAACACCCATTTTTGTCCACTTCGAATGTTGACTACTGTTGTTTTAACTGTATTAGCCTAACTGTGTCCCCTTAAAAAAATAATATTGATAAATGTTATGTTTATTTTCACTCTAAGTGTTTCAATTATGGACCACAGGACATGATCATAAATTATGAGTCAATAAAGACTGATATGATCAAATTTCATTTATAAGTCTGAATAAAAGTTGTTAATATCTTCTCTGATGTTAATGTGTTTTTCAGATGATTTACAAATTGCCAAATGATTACTAAGTTTCACTTTAGATAATGCAAACCAAGATTCAAGAAAAAACATGTGTCAAGCAAAGCACTGGTTGCGTAAGTAGGGCCAGACACTAACAAAGACCATTAGCTGTGTGTTAATGAGGCACTGACCGGCATCCAAAACTGTGCTCATCTGTTGTGATGTGCCAGTTTCATAGATAAAGGCCTCTCTCAGCCTGAATGACAGTATCTGTGGCTAATGATCTCATTATTTCTCCATGATAACAGAACATGGACAGAGAGCGAGTGCTTGACTGATGCCGATTTTTCCATTTTCCCACAATTCTCAATTTTCTCTTTTGCTGCTGAAAGTTCTCAATAGAGCTTGTGCAATTAAGAATTTAGAAATGTGACCTCAGAAATTTGTCATTTTAAACAGAAAATAGCATGAGGTGAGGAAGAAGTGTATTATGTATTTGTGTTTTTCTGAAAAAAAGTGTCAAAGTGAAAGTATGAAATGCAGAACAGGTTTTATTCAGAACAATGTGCGCAATCTTGGGGTACTTTTTGATGCGCAGCTCAGTTGTATCTCACACTTTAAACACTTGACTAAAATAGCCTTCATACACCTATGTAACATTGCTCGGTTTAGACCTTTTCTATCACAGCCTAAAGCGGAAAGGCTTATCCATGCCTTCATCACATCACATTTTGATTTCTGTAACTCACTCTTCGGGGGCCTACCAACAAGCTCTCTGAGACCTTTACAGTATATTCAAAATTCTGCTGCACGGGTTCTGACACATATTTCCTCGCACCACCATATCACCCACGTACTTCAGCAACTTCACTGGCTTCCTGTTATTTCACGTATTGATTTTAAGACTTTAAGACATATAAAGCAGTGCATTAGCTTGCACCTGGCTACATCTGTGACCTGGTAACCCTTGCCACTCCCACCCGCAGTCTTTGTTCTTCATCTGGACTTTTGCTGTATCAATCACACTGTAAATTAAAGATTATTGGTGGTCGTGCTTTTTCGTACAGTGCGCCTAAGGAACAGTATGGAACGGCCTACTCATTAGCATCAGGAATGCTGCTTTTCTCGACTTTAAGAAACGAAGACTCAACTTTTTACCGTTGCTTTTAACTTAAATTGATTATTTTTGTAATTTAATCCTCCAATTATATTGAATCATTCATATTTTATTGTTATTGTGGTATGTTTTACTGTTTTTATTTTTCTGCTTTGTTACTGTTTGTCTAGTAGCGTATTGGGTAAGAGAAAAGCTCACTATAAATACATTTATTATTATTATTATTATTATTATTTCTGATCAAACCAAATAGTTTGGTCATCTGCTATTTTATACTCAGTGTTTTTTTTTATGTTTGGCTTCTTCTTTTTTTTTACACAATTATTAGAAGATTTTTTTTTAGTTGCAGTAAAAAAGCCAATATTGAGCTTGCCAAACATTTTTAATGCATGAAGCAACCATAAAGTAATGAACAATATACTTTTACAATATTTATCAATGTGTTAATTTATAAATATACTATTGTTCATTGGTAATTTATGTTTGTTCATAATACTAAATGTTAATTTATACAATGCAAAATATTACCACTTTGTAGGAGGTAACACTTTAACATTTGTTTTCAAAGAAACATTTTTTAGTGAAAAACAAAACTGCTTCATATATTTTAATAATTAAACTTGTCTTTACTGTCATTTTTTTTATTAATTGAATGCATTGTACTGAATTAAAGCACTGTACTATTGTGTTATATCGTTTAACAATTATATTACAAGATAAGCGATTGATAACTTACAGTATTGATAGCATATAGTAAAATAAAATATTTCCATTACATTATTTTAAAAAGTGTAAAACAAATCAGTTTCACTTTATTTTGATGGTCCGTTTGTTTAATTTAAGTAACATTGTATCTACATGCCAACAAATTCTCATTAGATTATAAGTAGGCTATTAGGTTGGGGTTAGGGTTGGGTTTGGGGTTTGTGTAAGTTGACTTGTACTTGCAAAGTTTCTTACAATCAGTTAAATGTCTGTTTAGCAGCAGTATCAACAGATATTAAGCAGACCGTCTACTAATACCTAAATGGACCATCGAAAAAAATGTTATCAACAAATATTTTGGATTAGTCAATTCTGGATAAAAGTTGAATCGTTTAAGCTCAAATCAAGTAATCTGAGAATATAATTTTTAAAAAAAAGTGCATTTTCAGATTTTAATTTTAGATTGCTTGAGCACACTATTTTTTTTAATGGCATGCACAGATGAATTGTTCACCACAAAACTGTCAATATCAGCTAACAAAATCTCATGGTTCATTAAAATTTCATGTGGACTGTAATACCATGTTGAATTGTGCATCAGACAGAAAAAATAATAGGAAGCATGGTTTAAAATATATTCATTTATTGCAGATAAAATTCTTAATAGATACTGATTTACATATCATATTTGTTTGCAACACTACTCAATTAAATATTTATTCTGAAATATCTAAATAATATTATCTATGGCAGGAGATCTTGATTCAACATTCTCATAAACAATTTAAAAATATAATCCCTTGATATTCCTCTTGATGAAAAAGGAATCACTTTAAAACAACAACATATTGCTGTAAATAAGTGCTTTCCTGCAGGTATATTAGCATCAACACATCTCATCAGTCACACATTGCCATAAACCCACACAAAACCTTGACGATTTTCCTATTGTAGAACATGAATTATAGTGCAATTCAGCAGAGGCTAAAAGAATGGCCTATAAAATGCAAAGGGAAGCAGTCAAAAAATGAGCTAGAAATAAAGCAGTCTCCTTATTTTTCCAGTTTACATAAAAGCGTCAGGATATAGTAGGAAACTAACCACTGTTTTAGCATCTCGAAATACTATTTCTCATGTTAAGCAATCATAACATGGGCGTTTATGACAAACGCAGACAGTTTTAGAAGATCAGATTCAACTTTCCTGTTATCAGTACTGCAATTTAAGCAAAAGCCTGGATCGAGAACAAATACTGTGATGTTTCAGTAACAACCAGTCAAAAGCACCATAATCAGAAGGCAAGTGGCATCGATTCTGGGGTTTACTTGAAGGAAGCGCGAACTTTGCGTCCCTTGAGAGGTTGAGGAGGTCTGTAGTTGTCAACCATGCAGCAAGGTGTTTCTCCTTCAGATGAGAACAGCAGGCTGCGAAATTTAGCCATCTAAACAACCGACAGACAAAAAGAGAGAGGGAGAGAGAGAGAGACGGTTAGATTGTGGTGTTTAGCGTGTCGGAGGCAGTCTCGCAGAGCCTTATTACAGCGTATGGTTACTATATTTGGCTCATTCATACAGCACTTGCCAGAATTCCAGACTATTCTGACTAACCACTGGAGACCTAAAATAACCACTGCAGGCAAACAGCAGCGCCTACATCAGGGAAAGGTTATGTATAGGACGTTTTTTTCAAAGCATAATTTCACCATTGATACATGTTGATGATGTTGATTTTTAAGACGATATTTAAAACTGAATAATTATTGTGATGTACATTAAAAGTAAAAATAATGTATATGCCAGCTATAAAAATTTCAACATGTAACAGGCAAAAGTATTGATGTATTTTTTTTTTTCATTCATTCATTCATTCATTTTCTTTTCGGCTTAGCCCCTTTATTAATCCGGGGTCGCCACAGCGGAATGAACCGCCAACTCATCCAGCACATTTTTACACAGTTGATGCCCTTCCAGCCACAACCCATCTCTGGGAAACAACCATACACATTCATTCACACTCATACACTATGGACAATTTAACCTACTCAATTCACCTGTACCGCATGTCTTTGGACTGTGGGGGAAACCGGAGCGCAGGGAGGACATGCAAACTCCACACAGAAATGTCAACTGACCCAGCCGAGGCTCGAACCAGTGAACTTCTTGCTGTGAGGCGACAGCACTACCTACAGCGCCACTGCGTCGCCATATTTTATTTTATTTTTTATTTATTTATTTATTTTATTTTATTTTTATTTTACTTTATTTTAAGGGGTTCAGTATCAGGGATTGCCAAAGTGGAATAAACCGCCAACTTATTTAGCATATGTTTTACACAGCGGATGCCCTTCCAGCTGCCAACTGACCGTGCAGACACTCAAACCAGTGACCTTCTTGCTGTGAAGTGACAGTGCTAACCACTGAGCCACCGTTTCACCTTTATTTAATTTAACTTTATTTAATTTAATTTTATTTTATTTTATTTTTTATTATTATTATTTTATTTATTTAATTATCTATTTATCTATTTAATTTTATTATAAAATGGGAGGGAGGTATTTTCTTTTCTTTTTATTTATATTTCAGTTTGATTTATTTGGCCATCTCTTATTTATGTTCAGATTTATCAAAAAGATTAGTTAATATTAAGTATATTTTAAACAAGAATCATTTCATCATTTATTACAAGACTCAATTTAAGGATCACAGTGCAGCCTGAAAATACTATCTTTTTTTGTCATGTTATTATTTTTTCTGTTTCTGAAACCACTAGGTTAAAATATATGTACATTTATTATGATAACTTATTTATTTTATATATTTTATTATGTATAGAGTGAGAATGTGTTTTATTTTAGCATAAATTAATTACACGTGATGTAACCTTGACTTTTACTCTAAAGTTTTTTGAAACATTAAAGCTGACATGCATCTGACATGTTTTAATCTATATCAAACTACTTTTCAAAACTGAATTTAATGCAATCAAAAATGGGACACCTCATCTATTGGGTGTAAGCTTCTATCTTAAACCCGCAAGCCTGTCTTAAATATGATATTGGCTGTCATGCAAGCTATATATATAAGATAAAGTAATCTTGTAGAAGCAGAATCCTTTGGACCACCGACCCTCCCAGTTTCAGAGTCAGAGAGCTTTAAAAACATTAAGACACTTTCTGTGCAAAAACAGTGTTTGATCCACCAAAGAGCATCAAAAAGTATTCATTGTTTAAATTCCCTGATAAATTAGACGGTATTAGAAAGATGTTTTTTTTTTTTTCTTTTTTTTTATTATTGTAATGGAAAAAAAAGCAGAAAGCTTTTTGTAATTATTGGCCAGGAAATAAGCAACACTGTATGTCTATTGTGAAGTTTTATTTAACAATTTTAAAAGCATAGACTAAAAGGTCAGTCCTGGGATCGCTGAATCAATTTTGTTTCATTGAAAAATACACAAATATATGTATAGACAGGCACCAACACTAAAAACTCTAAAAGTATCAAATTTAAAAGGTCTATCACAGCGTGTAACATTTTGAGCAGACCAGCTCTTTGTGTGTTCAAAATGTTACACACTGTGATAGTCTTTTTAAGTGAATACACTTGATACTTTTGAAGTCTTTTCATATGCATTTTGTGTACGTTTTGATTGGCTAAGCACCCATTTGTAATTGATGTGCATGATTTTGTAAATTATTTTTATTCCTTAAAACAAATACGTTATCTATAAAATGTAAAGGTTACATTAAGGCTGTATACAGCTGAACCACACAAACATCACATGAGCTATACATGTAAAAGCACATTTGAAATATGTTGAACACATTTGAAACACATGAAACATGTGATTTTGAACACTTTCTTTTAAAACCCATTTGAACAGATGTGGACATCTGTGGAAACATGCAATTAAATAAAAAAAAATCAAAAATACGGATTTCACATGTTTCAAATTTGATTTTAACTTTTTTTATTACTACACACGTGGAGCCTTTGTGAAGCTCATGTGTTTTTATTAACAATATCTGTCATTAACGTATCATTGCCTAAGAAAGTTCCGGGTTATAAAAGGTAGCTACATGGTTTAAGGTTAGGTTCGGGTGTAGGTTTAGGGATACCTAGTTATAACCTATTTTATACAGTATAATGACTATGTTACATAGTTTTTATTTGCTTAATCACACTGTAATATAAAAAGCTCTTATTACATTGTTGTAGTGTTAAAATGCAATGCTGTAAAAATGTCTCTATGAATATGTGTACAATTAAAACCGAATCAAAAAAAGCTAAAGTAATAGGACTATATAGAGATCCCTGGTCAACTATTGTAAGTACACAAACAAATGTCTGAATGATTAAGTGCTTGATGAAGTTACCTGAGCAGGACTAACACTGATCGGCTCCTTCAAAACAATCCAGGTGACACTCTCCAGCAGAGGAGGGGTGGTCAGAGAGCCCTCATAAGTCCAGTAGTCCAGAGAGGCAGGCAGCAAGGTTTTAGGATCAAAGTTGGCAAATGTAGTCTGTCTGCCCTGGAGAAAAAACAGATATATGTTAACAGAAAAATGAAAACATATGAAGACAAGCGTTCACACAAAGGATGATAAATATAATAATAAAAGCATCAAGTTTAATAAAAATAAAATAAAATCTACATTTCAAATAATAGCATTCCACATTGCCGCTTTATGGAAAATTACACAGAAGAAGAATATCATTGGAAACATTTTTGTTTTGTTCTGAACAGTAAAAATCATATTTTCCAAAGCTTTTCTCATCATTTATGCACCTTAAAGTGGATCCAATATGAGTTTTGAGAACATTATAAAATACATATATTTAAAACATAAAACAGTGAGACAATGCTATTGAAGTCAATGGCTATAAATTTCCAGTATTCTCCAAAATTTCTTGATATGTGTTCAGCAGCGAAAAGAATGAAAAGAAAGGTGGGTAAATGGTTGGAGAAACCTATCCAACATGTTTATAATATAAGCAATATTAATGTTGATTGGTGTGGATGCTAATATAGTTATAGTTATCATTCTTGGTGCAAACAGGTCCTAATTATTCGAGTTCATAACTACAGCTTTTACCAAAAGTACTGTTCATACCTTTGATTTGATGTCATCAAGGGCATCTAGAACTTTCTGAAGTCTTGGATTTGCAGCGCCGATCTGGTAAACAGAAGCAGACATTTTTTCTATTGTTTCATGTTTTTTTTTTATTTAATTTTTTTTTAATAATATCCTGACCTTGAGAAAAACTCCAACCACAGCAAGGCCATCAGGCTTACTGGCAGCTTCTCCAAAGTTTGGGTACTTTGTGTTCCAGTGAACAAGGTGAAGCTTAAGAAGGAGGAGACATATAGTTATTATGAAACATTCAGTATATGCGGTAGGAGTACTGAATGGACTTAATATCTTGGCACATTTAAAAGAGGGCATTTACAAATTCATAAGAGAACATCATAAGAATATTCATGAGCAGTGAGCTATAATTATGGAGAGATGTTCAAGAATTAGAACGGCCTGAATCTCAGCGCAGCCGAATGAGGGTTGCTGCTGTTTTATAGTGGGAATTAAAAAAAACTCTCATTACCTCACAAGGGAACTTGGTTCCAGCAATAGTGTGCTCGGATCCCTTGTCATCACTGCTTCCCCAATGGAAATGGAACTGTCTCAACCTGTATATCCCTGTGATGGGACCTCCAGCCAGAGCTACACACACACAAATAATTATAAAAATGATGCATCTGTTCCTTAGGCAGCACTAAAGCATTAGCCATTGGAAATGTGTTAAAACTGTATATCATGTATAAATGCAATTAAACAATCAAAACATATGTAATAGTTGTTGCTTGTATTGAATAAAAATTATTATACAAATGTTGCACAATTTAAAATAATAACTTTAAATTCTCTTAAATATTGAACACTGTACCTCCTGTTTTGTATTCTGTGAGACTGCTTGTGGGCCATGTTAATGCAAGCGGTCATACTGTACTAATGTGAGCATACTAATGTCATCAACACAGTTGATTGAGTCAACATTGATCACCTAAAAATCTCCAGTATCTGCTTCGGTCACACTTTATTTTGATGGTCCGTTTGTTGAATTTATGTTATATTGCATCTACATGCCAACTAATTCTCATTAGATTAAGTAGACTGCTAGGTTGGGGTTAGTGTAAGTTGCAAAGTTTGCACTTGCAAAGTTTCTTATAGTCAGATAAATGTCTGTTCAATGAGCAGTTTCAACAGATATTAAGCAGACAGTCTACTACTCAAATGAATCATCAAAATAACGTGTTACCTCTGCTTTCATCTTGCTTACAGTATAGCAAACATCTTGCATGCTAAAAAATATTAGTAGATAAGCTGTTTAGAACTCTTTTTTTTTCTGAGCATATGTGTGAGTACCCCCTTGAAAGGATCATTGAAATTCAGCACATGTTGCTCTCATTGACCAACCAGGGCACACAACATTGATATGTGGCTCTATTCTTTCTTTCATAATAGAATGCATTAGCAATTGAGTACACAGAACCCTAAGTGCCTCATTTCCACAGGCAGAGGAAGGGACACATCAACTGCTCACATTACAGTTTAACATCGTTTCTAGATTTAATAAAGATAAACAGTTTGGAAAGCAAGACTAAATTCTAGTAAGGCCCCCCTGCTGACTAGGATAAAGTGATCAAGGAAATGCCACCCATGGACTACTTAAAACTAAATTTAATAATGAATGGATAAAAACAGGTCATGAGATATAGTCATGGATATATATATAGCTACTATTACATGTTTTATGAATAAAAATATCATATTTTCATTTTAGCACTCTGCAATCTGCAAACATTGCAGTGGGTCCAGTGGTATAATTGTAATTATGCATGTTTGGCAATGATTATGCTAACAATGATTGTCCACTGTAGCCAAACCACCATCCTGATAAAGTCTCTTGAGAATGTCTTAAGATGGTAAAGAGAAAGATCACCCAAATATTAACATTTACTCATCATTAAGTAGTTTCAAACATCGTCTTCTACTTAACATAAATATATCTTGAGGAATGCTGAAAACCAGTAGCCATTGAAATCCATAGTAAAAAAAACAACAGTATGAAAGTTTATGGTCAAGGGTTTAGGTTTGAGTGAAGTTAGAGTAAATGATGGTAGGGTTTTAATTTTGTGTTAACTGTCTCTTTAAGATTGAGCCCAACATTTGCATTGTGCAGTATACTAACTTGAGCTGTTGTCGTCATCAACGAAATCCACTTGGAATGAATGGCCATTATTAAGGATGCTCTTGGTGGTGGCTGGGTCATACTTCAATTTGAGATGCTTCAGAGAAGGGTCATGCTGTGCTTGGGTGGGTACGATATCAATGGGAGACTGCCTGGGTCCATTTGCAATAGGAAAGCTTTCTGCCCAACTCTCTGGCCCTGAAATGATATGAGCAGGAGAAATAGATTAGAAGCTGAATGCAAGAAGATAAAAGCACAGTGTCTAGATGCACGTTTACATTCTTTGCAAAATTCAAGGTTAGAAATTGTAGGCGGTGAGAAGTGGATATGTGCAGCTGTTACCTCCAGGAGCTCTTTTTAGCTGATTTTACATTTAGAAGTGACTTTTGTTTTTGTAGAGTAATTTATCCATGTTGTTTCAGTCATAACACTGTTTTTCTTTTCTGTCTTTCTTTCTTTCTTTCTTTCTTTTTTGTCTCTTTTTTCTTTTGTTCTAAATTAAGAACAAAATTTCATTTCGATTTTTTAATGCACATTTTACTTAAAAGTAGTAGTAAAGTAATTTTGTTTTCAATTTGAAATAAGAGTATTTTATGCATTGACAGATTATTTTGCTTGGTTAAAGAAAAGCTAGCTTAATTTTTATTTTAGAAAACAACTGAAAATGTTATATTCTCCTTATAGAAAGTAACTTAAAAAAACAATTGAAAACTGTTTGTTTTTTGCTTATGTAGAAAATATTTCTTGATTTAAACATTTTTAGATATTTAGACTGGAAACAAGACAAAAAGCTTTTGTAAAAGACTCTAAGACAAGACTCTAACCTTAAGTAAAATTAACATTTCATTGTTTAATATAAATTACTGCTACGTGTAAATTATTTTAGATATTAAAATAAGTGCTCCAGCTTTTCTCCTAAAAAAATAAGAATAAAACAGTATAGCTACTAAGAATAAACATTAAACATACATTATAAAATATTAACATTAATACCAGTAAAGTTAATCTTACCGTCAGCTGGTCCATATCCCCAAGCGTGAGCCATGATTATAAATGGTTTTCGCTGTGTTCCTCTACTTGTACAACCTGGATGCTAAAACAACTGCTGCTTAATTCCCCCAAACTATGTCAGGCTTTATATAGAGTTCCCCTGCTGGTGCTGGTCCCTCTCTCAGCCCAGTGGGTTTGGCCACATGCTCTCCAGGCAGCACAGGAGGAGTTAGTCAGAGGACATTTGTCTTCAACTAATCAAAATATCGCACCTCCAGAACACCGGTCACTGGCCATCGCGCTGCTCGGTTTGCTGATGCGGCTCAGAGATGCTCGAGCGCCGGAGAACAGATGAGAAACGGGCATTCCTCTGTTTTCCGGCGTTCAAGATTCTGCTTCGAATCACAAACCTCTCCATTGGTTTCTTTCTCTGGTGATTCAGAAACCCGTCCTTTATCCGGGCAGCGATGCATGTTCTCTTGACCTTCCTCGTCCTTATGCGATGCTGTGTTGAAACGCAGGACGGACGAGTGATGGTGTGCGCGGCTCAACACAGTATCTCTGTTGCGCAATGACTGATTTTGTAGCTTAGTTTGTCATTTCGAAGGTTGTTTTGATTCATATTTCTAAAAGAAAACAAAATCAGACGCAGTTTTTTGGTCTACATCTTCTGGTACCCTTTCTGTGAAGAGCTGCAGTGCTCTTTTAAAGGGGCCACTGCGCCGACTATGATTAGTCGGTGTTATATAAAACATTTTAACCTGTTTACTCGAACTACTAGAGCTCAAAACACGTGCTGGTTGTTTAAATCCTTGACAAATGCATTTAAAAGAGTGCAATGTTTTGTTTTGAATAGTTTTTGCTTAACACTTGTTGATTAGGAAAAATACTATAGGCTAGGTTTTCATTTACTGTAGCCTATACTTGTGAAGGCCAAAATGTGTTTTGTGTCATAAATGAATTTCCAATATTTAAAATACCGTATATAGCGGTATCACAACCTGCAAATGTCAATGGATGAGTGATATACGTCATTTAAACTCTTTGCGTTGCTGTCATCTGGTGGCCGAAGTGGAAAAATGATTATTTATTTACATTTTTAACTTTGTATATTTGAAAAAATCTCAATACAGTAAGGAAACATACAAAAATTACCCATCTTTTTATGTAGGCCTAGCTAGGTTTTAAATTTAGTTAATGACGTACCAGGTTTTGTCAATTCTTTTTCTTATTTTTTTTATTTAGTATTAATATTCTGTAGTTTTAATTTTACCAGACTTATTTCCAGCAATAGTCAATTGATGTCACATAAAGGGTTAAATGTGGCCCTAATGTGTCTGTCATTCAAATCATTGAAATATGTTTATGCAAAATAAATAATTATTTTATAGTACATTTTGTTTATAAGTACAGTAGTTAATAGAGTATGTAATAAAGTATTTAGAGTATGTACATTTGTACATAAATACACCCTTTCAGACATAAGCGAACTTAACATAAGTCAAGGCATATTTTAATTGAAAAAACTATTGGGGATGGTTCGAAAGAACCCCCCCCCCCCCCCCCCCATTTGCCTTATTGTGACTGCTATGCCATCATAAATTATGAAAATAACCCATCAAAGAAGGCTTCAAATGAATGCAAACAATTATTTTTCATGTGTCTAACATACATGGGCAAGAAAACATGGATGTTAAACGTGAAGTCATCTTTCACAAGTAGCCCATATACTGAATCTTGGACCTTGTTCTTGAGAAAAAAAATGCCAATAAAAAGATTTAAAGCACCAAAAGTGGCCCAAATTAATGTTAATTTTAATACTAATTAGGCTATTTTTGTAAATCATGATCTTATTTTTATATATATATTTTTTTATCTTTTTTTCTACTGATATATGATGTAATAAATTTTTATTTACAAGTAAGTGTTTATATATATATATATATATATATATATATATATATCTTTATTCTGTATTTTTAGCAAATGTTTTTGGTACCTCAAAAAGTGTGGTTATGATGACCATCCGACAAGCTAATCCAGCTAATATCAGTGCCTAGAATGTCACTAAAATGCAGTATTTATAACTGCACAATGGCCCACTTTTTGAGAAAAAAGAACCACTCTTTTCACCAGGCTGGCCTGTTTTATGTTGAGAAGTTGTCATTTGTAGTATAATGTATAAAAAAAAAAGTTAAATTTTTTATGAGTGTACTTTTCTCTACATTTACAGAAAAGCGATTAAGGAGCCTATTCTAGTCTTCATTTTGCCAACATACCCATATGTTGCCACAAAAGGTGCATTCCCCAAATCAGATCAGATTAAATTCAAACTTGTAACTGATCATTCAGACCACTAGGTGTCAGAACAGAATCATGTTTCTTACAACACCCTGTATGGTGTGTATAAATTGCAAGTACCTGCCCAAAATTCTGAGACATCTATTCATAATTCTCATAATGACTAGGAAAGCTCTGCTAATTCAAGAGCTAAAGTCAGTGTACTATTAAAACATTTAAATTAACGATAGTAAATTTCAAATTTCTTTCCTAATTTTATACATGCAGTTAACTATTCAGGTGTTTTTTTTTTTTAATGGGTTGCACTTTATAGATGTACATGAATTGTAATAATGAATACACTATAAATATTAACAATAATTAAAATATGTGATACAAAACATAAGAGCTTAATCTCAGCATATGATGGAATGATTGAACAACATGCTGGTTAATCATTTATACTTCAAGAGGCCCTCATACTTTTGATGAATGGAAATAGTAACACAAATATAATACCCCTAAATCAGTGTCCATTAAACATTACTGCTATTTTAAAGCATACTTTTGTGGCACGGGTGGAGTTTTACCTTCCACACAAGAAAAGAGAAAGCTCATCAAGCCGCAATGTGAACGCTACAATATGAATCAGCAATGAAAAGGAAGAAAATGAGCTCCTTTCATGTCACAGATGTAAATTTGGCTCCGCAGGATCAAATGCATGCTGAGTCTAACTAAGAGCATTAATGGCTGCAGCAAAAAAGAGCTTATGAAACCTCTCATTTGGTTCTATTCAGTTCTCTGATTGGATGCGGGTGACATGGGCTCTGTGAAAGGGCCAGATCATTTTGACCTTCTACAGACAGGCTGCGCCGCAGGGTTCCCCATTTCACATGCACCATCGCGGCCTCTGATAGGCCCTATTCAGACAGATGATCAGATATGTTAAAAGGGAACAATGCCATTTAATTGGATGGCTCCTTATAATTAATGCTATTTTGAAGCCAAGTATGACATGTTGCACAGAGATTTTGTATCTTTTGGAAGTTATATTAGCCTGGATTTTTAGGCTTTATTTCCAAACTTACAGCAAGTGCTTTGAACTATGCATAGTAAAAAAATAAGTATTTATTTTAGTGACATTTTTGTTTGTTTGTTTGTTTGTTTCTTTCTTTCTTTCTTTCTTTCTTTCTTTCTTTCTTTCTTTCTTTCTTTCTTTCTTTCTTTCTTTCTTTCTTTCTTTCTTTCTTTCTTTCTGTCTTTCTTTCTTTGAGTACACAGAACCCTAAGTGCCTCATTTCCACAGGCAGAGGAAGGGACACATCCACTGCTCACATTACAGTTTAACATCGTTTCTAGATTTAATAAAAATAAACAGTTTGGAAAGCAAGACTTTCTTTCTTTCTTTCTTTCTTTCTTTCTTTCTTTCTTTCTTTCTTTCTTTCTTTCGTTTAAATTTGACATTGTATTTTTTTGCCAAATTTATTTAACATGTTTAAAAACTCTTGCCAGTGTTTGTAGTAGTTCAATTCAACTCATCTGTATTTTTATAGTGCTTCATATAATGTAGATTGGCAAAGCAGCTCTACATATAGACAAAAAGGAGAATAAAAAACATAATTCTTTTTTCAGAATGTAGAACATTTCAGGCAAGAGAGTTGTGGTAACATGCTGGCGTAGTTGTAGTTAAATTAAAAATGCTGTTTAATATTAATGTCACTGTTGAAGTTCAGTTTAATTCAGCTTCACTGTCCACTAAAACACATCTCTACAAATTTCAACCAAGCAAGCCATAGGCAACAGTGGCAAAGAAATCAAAACTCCACCAATGAGTTAAAGAAGATCTGAAATGTAAAACGAATGATTGCGGGTTCAAATTCAGACTTTATGTAATATTAATCAATGTGTATTTGATTGTTTCATTGTTTATATACAGTTGAACTCAGAATTATAGCCTCCCTTTTTTTTTTTTTTTTTTTTTTAATATTTCCCAAATGATGTTTAACAGAGCAAGGACATTTTCACAGTATGTCTGATCATATTTTTTTCTTCTGGAGAAAACCTTATTTGTTTTATTTTGGCTAGACTAAAAGCAGTTATTCATTTTTAAACACCATTTTAATGTCAATTTTACCATCCCCTTTAAGCTATAATTTTTTTTCGACAGAACAAACCATCGAAATACAAAAACTTGCCTAATTACCCTAACCTGCCAAGTTAACCTAATTAACCTAGTTAAGCCTTTAAATGTCACTTTTAGCTGTATAGAAGTGCTTGAAATATATCTAGTCAAATATTTTTTACTGTCATCATGGCAAAGATAAAATAAATCAGTTGTTAGAAATTAGTTAATAAAACTATAATGATTAGAAATGTGTTAAAAATATCTCTGTTAAACAGAAATTAGGGAAAAAATAAACAGGGGGGCTAATAATTCTGACTTCAACTGTAAACTACCTGTCAAAACTGTCAGTGTTTCTTGAAAGAAAACTATTCTGTTCATCAAGGAGGCATTTATTAAATGTAAAACAAATTGTTAAATTGTTAAGTGTTTATTAAAATTTTATTTAACTGACTGTATTGTATGTCTACATTGTATAATAATAATAATAATAATAATAATAATTATTATTATTATTATTATTATTATTATTATTATTAGAGTGATTTCTGAAGGATCATGTGGTGTAAGTTGAAAATTCATCTTTAAAATCACTGGAATAAATGAATAAATTAAATAATAAACTACTTTTGATCAGTTATTTAACGTGCTATAACATTTCACATTTTTACTCTTTGTACTGTATTTTGATTAAATAAATGCAGTCTTGGTGATAAAAGCTTAAGATAAGCTTATTTTAAAACACTGAAAAATCCTATTGACCCCAAGCTTTTGACCGTATAGTAAGTTAAGTATAATATAAGATAAAGAATATTATTGATGCTAGTATAGAATATCTAATGAATTAATTTACTGTTAATATTTTTATTATTAAAATTATTAAAATATTAAATATTATGTATCCATTATTATTATTATTATTATTATTATTATTATTATTATTATTTTATTTTTTTATTTTTTTATCATGCTATATGTTAACTGAATCATAGCAACCTCATTTTGAGAATATATACATTCACATTTTTTACAACATAAACTGTTGTTTCAGCTTTAAAGCATCTTGCATGTGTGTCATTTTAAAACATTAAAATGCAAAAAAAAAAAAAAGGATGAATTCTAAAATTATCTGTTTGTTTCTTGGAATTAAAGTTGTGACAACGTAATACAATGATGGTTTGTGATGGAGCGTATCCGGTTGGCAAAATCTAAACCCTGGCATAGATTATAATCCAAATGTCACTCAACAGAGCAAAGCATGGATGGTTGTATTTGTATAACCTGTATAAATCCGCATTTTCAGCCTATACAATGCAGACATTTTGATATGGAAAATTCATCCAAAAAATAAAGATTGCTGTTAATTCACTCACCTTCAGACCATCCAAGCATTTGTTTTCTTCAGTAAAATTAGCAAAAATATATAATATGTTTCTGCTGAAATATAGGTTACAGGGGAAACTAAATGAATATACATGACACCAGTGACCAGACGATACATTTAGCTGGACTACATTTTCAGCAGTTTATTTATTTATTTTATTTTATGTGTGTTCTTCCAAGATTAAAGTCATATACCGGATGATTGAGTGTGAACTATTGGTTTAAGTAAAGAGCCAGTATAATTATTTAATGCAATTTAATTAGGCTATAGAAACAGTGCTGCACATATTTTATTTTAAATTGTTAACTAATAATTACTTAAATGTTACACATACATTGATGGAGCTGTTTAATCAACACACTCTTTCAGTTACTTAATTAATTTTCATATTAAAAGAAAGAAAGAAAGAAAGAAAGAAGGAAAAAAAGAAAGAAAGAAAGAAAGAAAGAAGGAAAAAAGAAAGAAAGACAGAAAGAAAGAATGAATTAACTTTAAATTATCGTTTCCTTCAGCGCAATGTTTCTTCATAAGAATCTGAGTGAAGTCCACTGGCCGTACTCCAGGACGCATTTTGCCAGTGCTCCGGCATCTCTGAACAGCACACGTACCTCCGCTGCAGCTCCACGGCTCGCTGTCAGGTGCGGATCAGACGGGATCCAATATCATATCGAGCGACCACCCTTCCGTTCACTGACTGTATTTCAGAAACGCTAAAGGATTTACTTCATCACTCTCTGTTTATGAATTGTGACTGCTAAATAGCCGAAGGTAAGCTTTCATTATATTTTGCGCTTTGTTGTTTGTTCATAAGAATCCCAGTGTGATGATGTTCTTGATGCAAATGGCATTAATTGCGTTGACTGAAACACGTCGCTTGTTTTCTGCTGGTCTCCGTTTATTTCATTTCCCGCCGAGATGTCGCTTCACAGTTCAGTTTAAATTCTGTTTGTTGGAACAATGATGTTTCAAATAGCTGAACACTTCATTTCTCCGGCCACTGATGCGCCTCAGTGTCCATGAGTGTAACAAAAGACCGGTGACACGGGCAGCAACATGTATCAACATTACAGCATGCGTCAAGACTCAAATCCAGCTGCATTCATGTTTTAGAATTGTCAAGCTGGTTTATTTATTTATATATTTGGCATATCAGCTTTATCTTAACATCTGTTGCAGGAGGAAGTATTCCTGCTATGAGAGCATTCACAGCTGTTAAGATGACAGGTGATGAGGCTTATGATGTCTGTTCTAAACTTGGATTGACAAGTTGATGTTATTGAGACTTTATAAAATGCACTAGCTTTATTTATTTATTTATCAGATTAGTTATTGGTTTAATTATTTGAGATAAACTTTGAGCTGCATATTTTACTTACTTTGATTAACTTTTAGTATAATACAAACTGTTTTATTTGGAGTTTCTTTTTGAAGTTTGTAGTGTGTTTGAAGGTATGGCGTGATAACTGAGGTATATAATTATTTTATTTTATTTTTGGTGATTATTCTTTCTTGTCTTTTTTGACTCTCTTGACGAATTTTTAATAGCATCAATGTGTTGAAGTGTCATGTGATGTAGGGTTGTGTGAATCATCAAAAAATTGAATTGCATTTTTTTGACTGATATTGCGATTGTGATTTCATTTGCAATTTAATAATGTAGTGGATATTCAGTTCAATAATCTGTATTGTAGCTTCTCACTGCTAAAATGCAGTGAGTGGTAGTTAAAAAAGAAACTGATAAGATATTAACTTACTTCAACATACATTTAAACAGTAGGCACACATAAAATTCTGTAAACAAGTTTAACTCAAATTAAGGAGATTATGTAGCTTATTATTCATTCATTCAATTTCTTTTCGGCTTAGTCCCTTTATTAATCTGTGGTCACCACAGCAGAATAAACTGCCAACTAATCCAGCATATGTTTTATGCAGCAGATGCTCTTCCAGCTGTGACCCATCACTGGGAAACATCCATATACAGTCATTTACACACATACACTACGGACAATTTTAGCTTACCCAATTCACATACTGCATGTCTTTTAATTTGTGGGGGAAACCGGAGCACCCGGTGGAAACCCGAGCAAACACTGGGAGAACATGCAAACTCCATACAGAAATGTCAACTGACCGAGGCTCGAACCAGCGACCTTCTAGCTGTGAGGCGACAGTGCTACCCACTGCACCACTGCGTCACCGCTTATTATACAACCAAAAAATAATAACTTAAAAACACAGAACACTCAGCAATCTAACATAGCTGATACACTCTCAGAAATAGAGGTACAGGAGCTGTTACTGGGGCAGTACCTTTTCTAAAGGTACATATTTGTACCTGAAGGGTCCATAATGGCCCCTCAAAGGTACTTTTTAGGTACATTTGGCCACTAATTATGCGCCTTTGTGGTGCCCCTGTGAACTCTTTGGGTACAAATATGTATATTTTGAAAAGGTACTGCCCTTGTGAGAACTCCTGTACCTTTATGTCTGAGAGTGTATGAGGCAGATTGAAAACTTTCGATTGGGCAGAATGAAAGTGTGCTCACTTAATTGGCTAGTAAGACTGTCATGCACAGACTGCCATGCATTTGCTCTGGGTGGGGGAAATTAAATAATACTTATACATTCCCTATTGCAACCTCTTGCAATTAACTAATCGAAATGTTTCAAAATCGCGATTGTGATTTGGTTTCGATTAAGCGTACAGCCTCAATGTGATGTATAGTAGTACCAATGTTTGTGCAAAAAAAACACATTACCCATGGTTCTGTGCAGAAAATCCCACTTATCAGTGAGTCACAGTGAGTAAAGAGCACCAAAATTGAGTTGGCTTCACCCACTTCCTTGAAACATTTCAAATGACTTAACTGAGGGATACATTCTGTAATCTGTATAGCAAAAATCTGAAGAACGAAACCAAAATTTCTATTGATTGAAAGTTTGATTCTGATCTGCCATTTGCAGTGCTTCATGGGATTTAAGTTCTTTAAAGACATTTTTATTTATTTTTTTAATTAGATTTTCATTTGCTTATTTGATTCAAATCAAAGTTTGTAATGTGATTCGTCTTCTAGCTGGTTGGTTATGAATAGGGCCAGACAGAATTTGCAAACATTTTTTTGCTCTTTCTGCTGAGAATTTTGAAAAAAGTCTGTGAATTTATGCCAAATGGTTTTGAGAGTACCATAACTAAAAACACATGAACATATGAAATATAGAAATAATACATTTATAACTATTTTTAATATTTACAATGCAAATCCAATTAGATCCACTTATTAGATAAGCAAAGCATTATACCACTTTACAAACTGTATTGTAAATAAATTAACTGAACATTTTCATATGAGCCAATAATATTACTGAAATGAATAAAAAAAATGGAATAAATATAAAATTACACACATTTACTGTACACAAATAAAAAAATAGACTCAATAATGGCCTAAAAATCTGCAGATTTCAGCGCACACAGATTTCGTGTGGACCTAGTTATAAAGTTGGAATAGCTGTAAAGCTATGCTTATAAAGCTGACTTTTAAAAATCCTTTATGGGAAGAATGAATGGGAAAATACTTTCAGGAAAAAATATTGCTGAAAAATTGGGTGAGCAGTAATCCACTCTATTGATCCTGGCTTTTAAATTGCAAAACTGCAAAATTATGGATAAAGGCAATGATACGGATGAATGGACGTGTGTGTGTGTGTGTGTGTGTGTGTGTGTGTGTGTGTGTGTGTGTGTGTGTGTGTGTGTGTGTGTGTGTGTGTGCAACTGTGTGTGATTTGATTGTTTATTATACTACAATGAAGTGCTATATGTTTGTCATCATCTTACTGCCTGACATAAATACAGTACTGTTTAGTTTTGATGTCATGCTTAGAGAAGGACAGAAAGCTATATCCTGAAAGACAGTGAGGGAGGGAGAGAGAAAGGGAGAGAGAGAGTCTGCGGAGGTGGTGGGTGCATATGAGATTTATTAGATCTGAGTCAGTCCACTGTGTCAAGTACCCTGGAACAGTGTGATTTTTATTTTCAACAACTTTTCCATGAAGCTTGAAGTAGCGTCTGGATTGCTTTGATTTAAAATGTACCCATGTACACTATATGGACTTATTTAATGCCTTTTGTCATTGAAAACAGCAATGCGATGATGAAGTTTGCAGTATATGGCTTCCTCTGTCTCTTTGACACAGTGAAGCTCAGTTCTTCATTTCTATAGATAGTTACATCGCTGCTCAGTCTAGTATCATGCCTTGATGATGGCATTGTTTGTTAATAGAAATGAAATAATCTAATTAGGAAGTGTTCCGTAAAGCTCAATTAATGGCAGTGATCGCTTTAAAATAATATGCTTTAAGGGCACCTTGAATGACTGTGATTTGCTTCACTGTCAAGGCCGAGTTCATTTTATAGTCATTAAACGGTGAACCCAAAATCCATTGTACAGTTTAGTCAGACTTGGCGACACAGAATGATGTGTGAAATATTGAAGGCATGCTACATCATTTTGGAGAAACCGAAAATCACACTTTATGGTTCAAAACAGAGATCACAATTCATCCACCACCTAAACATACAATTAAAGTATAATGTTATTTAATAGAGCTTCTGATTAAATGTTCATTGCTCAAATGTTCAATAATTCAATGACTTCACTTGTGAACGTGAAAGACTTCACTTGTTTTATTACTTAATGAATCAGAGTTTCACTCAGTTGTGTCTAGTACTGGAACAATCTTCAATTGAAGCAAAAAAGTTACTTTTAAAAGGAGATTTGCTTAATTCAAAAGGTGATTTACTACTGTGTTATTACTGACATCTAAGGTTGAAAGTGGATTAAAATATATATGTTTTAATGTAATTCAATCGCTGAGTTTTACCATCTTTTACCCAAGCTTGGGTTGTAACATCCCTGCATTTTTAGGCATGATTTAAGGGTGTTAGAGTTAGGGATTTGTGATTTTATAAATAAGATGTGTGTATACGATTTTGTTATAGACAATTTGGTGCTTAAATATTTTGTTTTATTGATGAACAACTTTATCATAAATCAGGTTACTCTCTTTATGAAGACAGTCTCCAATGATTCCTTAAAAACAGATTTCAGCATGTGTGAAAACAACACTCTTTCTATTACAATATCATATCTTATAAAATTATAAAGCAAAAATATGTACAGGGACAATATTTAAATTGGCAGTAGGCTTCATCATGCAGTCAATGCTTTTTGTAACCAACACAATCTCATGGCAATTCATAACTTGTTTCATTGTTCAAATTCATATGCATTAGCCTCATTCGTACAACTTAATGCGATTTTTTTATCCCCTAATGACAGTTGGGTTCATTGATGGGCTTGGGTGCTACTTTTGTATGACTGAACTCGAATTAGCGACTAAACTGAAAAAACGTCAAATAGTTACTGTACATTTCTTTATATCAGGTTGGTTTTAACGGACTATGAATCTGTTGCATACTTACACTAGGGCTGCACTATATTGTTTCAGCATCGATAGTGCAATGTGCACATTCGTATTAGTCACATCACAGAATCTGCAGTGTTGAGTGTTGATTATAGTTAACCAGTTCATAACACATTTGGGGAGTCAAATTAAGTTTAACCATAATAAAGCAAAAGATTATTATCTCCAGTTTTGTTAAGGCTTTTGACTGTGTGATCATTTCAGAAATTGTAAGTATTGAGACACGATACATTTTGCCATTTGTAACTTTAACAAAGATGTTTGTTAAGATTTTTTTTAAC